CCCCAAAACCCCAAAACCCCAAAACCCCAAAACCCCGTAATGATACGATTGTGATAATTGATTGAATTTTTAAATAAAAATGACTGAAATAGCTAAGTTGATTAGTAAACAGGTAAATTAAGGTCAATAATCATTTAATAGTATGAGAATACCTTTCCACTTAATGTAAAGTCTCACTAGCAAAATGCCTCTTAGCTTGAAAATTTTGAGTCTCCTTCCACAGTGAGGAGATTTTAGGATCCTGCCCCAATGGCTTAATCTAAATTTAATATGAGTCTAGTTACTCCTAATTTATTGAGTCCTAAATAGACAGCTGTGTCAGCCCCTGTTTCACCTAAATTAAATTAATCCATAATTGTTGATGGCTATCACTCTAATAACTAAAAGCCAGTGAAGGGATTAATGGGGTATGCCTAGAAGCTACTGGAAAAGAGGGAAAACCGAGTATTTCTCCAAGAAACTAACAGAAATAAATTAGACATATCAAGATTGCAATTTGTTCATAATCCCCTGTTCGACTTTCCCTCTACAGACCTCTCAACTTTTGAAATGATAGTTAATTAACAATAAAATCATGATGACCAGCTTTCGATTCAATGGGACAAAATTGATGAATGGAATAGGTAAAATAGGCATGTCAAGGCGCGTGAAAATAGAGGACTCAAAAGTAAAGTTTCAGGCAATCAATAAAATCCTATCACTCCCTTAGAATTGAGTAGTACAACGCTAGAGGATGAACCTAAAAATCAGCTAAGCAAGTCTCTTGTAAATAAGAAGAAGTATCATTTACCATAAATTGCTCTGGAGCATTTAGATTACTCAGGAAATATCTTAGAGTAGAGTTTGATAGATCATTCAACCAATAATGAGAAAGGGATACAAGAAAACTTGAAAAAGTTTTTCCAAGATTAAATGAGGAAAAAAGCATTTAATACTCCGATTAAGGGAAACAAAGGAGGTCATAGGTATTCAGTCAGAAGAATGCGAGAAGACTTCTACAGTAAGGATTAAACTAGTTCTAAGTTTGGAGCGAGAAATTCAATTTTATATAATAATTCTAGTCTATTCAATTTCGAGAGAAGGAATTTAGAGAAAGAGCAGAGCAAAACCTAGAAACTGAATGCTACTGGTTAGGGTTCCAAGTTTTTATCAGGTTTCTCTTAATATAACCCCACAGACTAAGAGCAGTAGAAAATTGTAAATCTTCAAATTTTAAGAGAGCTTAGCAAGCTTAAAAACTAAGCAGTTTGCAGGGACAAATAATGGAGTAAGCAGTTTTATAACAGAAAAACGAGTAATGATGATAGCATTAAAAATAGCTACATTTACTCATAGATCCATTCAAGTGCAGCTATAAGGGATAAGTCCTAGATGCAATAAACACAAACTTAATCTAAGTTCATTTAGTAAGCCCCTAAAAGTGGTAGCAACTAGAGTCCATATCCTTTTTAATTTCAAGGCAAAATGATATTCACATACGCTGACTTATTGCAGTTCTGCGAACTGGACAAAGCTGAGACTCTTATGGAGCTTAAGAAACAACAGCAAAAGTAAATTCATGTTCATCATAGCTAGCAATAGAAAAATTTTGATGAGGAGTTATTCAAATTAATATAAGAAATAAAATAGCAGGAAAAGATGCATCTAAGAAAGCCAAGTACACTGGATAATCTTGTTCTTTTACAAAGGATTGACGACTATTATCACAATAAGGATTAATGAATTGAAACTACTCAATGATGAGGTGTGGATGAGAAGGAGATTTTTTAGCACCATTATTAAATTTTAAAAGGTCTAATATTTTTAAAGCTTAATGATAGTTCATTGTGAAATGCTCTAAGATTCATGAATAGACATTGCTCAATTATCATTAATATAAAGTTAAATATCGAATATTTTAACTTTTTAAACTTTAAAAAAGTTATACTCAAAGGGGTTTTGGGGTTTTGGGGTTTTGGGG